AAAGCGAGATTTGAGATAGAAAAAACGAACTGTCGAGTTTAGGTAGTTATAACTGAAACGTACCACCATCTAAAGTCCACTTTGTTCATTTTGATAGTTCGCGAGGCCTTGTTTTCCATATTATGTAAAGAATATATACGATTCGTGTAGTATGCATGCTAACAAGTAACAACACACCAATTGCGCCTTGATTTTACCATTCATATACATGTGAAAAAGATTCAAGATTGTGCTAAACAATATTGAGAAAAAAAGTTATTATAATACTGTTTTGGTCCTCCACTATGATGCTACCTAGTTTGAACTAGGAGGATTCCATCGGCATTGGCATATCCTCCACTTGAGGAGCATATCGATCCATACGTACCAGTAGTCAGCTCACTCCTTTCTTTGGCAGTTCGGCACCTCTACTCTATGTCTCTATCTGAATACTCCCTGAATAAAAAGAAGAAGAAAATCTTACTTCAGGAGTAGATTAGATTAGAGTAAGAAAATATATTTCATAGTTAATCTAATCATACTTATAAATATTTTCTTAACAAATCAATTTGAAGTATAAACATTGATACTATTTTATATAATCTCATTAAACTTAGGGCGTGTTTTGGACTGTGGTATCAGTACCGCGGCCTCCACCCCGCAGCACAGAAAACACAGAGCGCTCGTTGTGTCTCCGGTGGTGGAAAGAATCATCGATTCCAGTAAGGTGTCTGACGGGATTTTCTCGATTCTCATAGTGGGGCGACTCTGGATCTATCCAATTTTAAGCAGTCCCAAACATGCTCTTGAGATTGTTTGACTTCTCAAAAGTGAGATTTTAATTCTTTTTAATCAAACTAACTTATAAAATTTAGAAAAACCAAAACAACTTAAAACTCAGAAAGGATGAAGTAGCACTTTAAGCGAACTCAATAGACACAATGGCATAGCTCTACGTGCTCCAGATTTGCCAAAAACAACTCCACGCCACGAAAAGTTACCCAAACGCTCTAGCTCAACGAAATCCGGATTCACCACAACAGGGATTTGGGGCTAGATTCACATTTTGGTGGAGCTCCTCGAGGGGTGCTCTACGAAAGGCTATTTCGTACCTCTTCTTGGAGTTGGATGGAAATTACTGACCATTGCCACTGGCTACACACCTCGCTTCTCGTACCGGCTTGTTTCTATTCCCTTTCTTCCCCACTCGTCCGAACAGCTACGGGAAAAAAAAATCCGCGCATCTTCTCCGCCACAGATTCCGGCACGGGAAGGAGCTCGTGGCCGAGGGCCTTGGTAGCTGGCGGCCTCGTCCGAGGGTGGTGTGGGGAGGAGCTCGCGGCCCTCAAGGCCGGCGGCCTCGTCTGAGGGTGGCACCGGGAGGAGCTCGCGCAACACCGGGGCCCACCCAAGGCGGCCATCACGATACTAGGAAGAAGCTTTTTGAAATATTTTTCATGGATCACAGACATTGACATGTAGGGCCTATCCCAAAGGCAAAATAGTCCATTCCAACTAAAACCTCATTTTTCGTGAATGGAGCTACTATGTTACCAAACAATTCCCTGGTAGATCATGGTGGATCTCATATCCACTATTGAAGTTGCTCCATGGGTCCAGGTTCATTTTTTGAGTGGTGGGGCTCTGTCAAACATGCCAAAAGTTTGCAAACTCCGTGTCGAGATGAGTACCAAGGCAAGCACATGCACCGCCGTTGCTTGCCCGCCAGCAGGCTGCTGCACTGCACTGCAGCACTAGCTCACTGCCCGCACCCGCATGCATGCCCACCTATAATGGAGGCCTTCACTTGGCTTGTGCGCCCAATCATGTCGCGTACTAGGTTGCATTGCACGCAACACACACACACCAACGGTTAAGGGAGTATCCAGGGGCGGCGGCCGGCAGGGCTCTTTTTACCTGCCTTTTCGGCGGAGGCGCACCTCGGCACGAGCTCGCGCCGGCTGGACGCTCTGGCCAGCCACTGAAGAATCTGAATGTTGGCGACGGCCGGCTAGGACAATCAAGACGACGACCATGGCGCTAGAATATTCCCAGGGACACTGCGAACTTGCCAGGAATCTTGGGCGATCTGGTACATCACATGGAACGGGAAAGCAGCAGTGAGTGCGGAGTGGAGAGGAATCTCATGGTTGGTTGGTTCTCTGAACTACTACTGCGACTGCGAGAGATCTTATCGCGAGGATCGGATGGATCAGAGGATCGCCATGCGTGTCAGGAGAGGTACGTGCATTATTGTGCATGCGCGCGCCTTGCGGCTTGCCAGACTGATCTGATCGATGTGGTGTAGTCCACCGTCCAACGAGCAGCAGCAGGCATGTGCAAGCATGGCACGCCTGGCGCGGTTCTCTTAGTTCTAAAGATCTGGTGTTATACTGATCCTTCCTTTGCGAAGTGGTCTTGTGCAATGACAGGACACAATAGCAGAGATCAGATGAAGTTGAAATACTAGTTTAGACCAAGATAACTGAGAGTTGGCAGGGTTTAAGTCAATATTTAGCACCTCAACCCTCCAATTTATCTAATCTTATCAACAGCTCAAATACCGGTTAGGCACCTTTTGGGGATCGTAGGAAATTTTCCTATTTTCTGTGTTTTTCTGTGAAAATGAACAGATTCCAATGAAAATACTGTAGTGTAATTCCTTAGTTTTGGTACCTCAAAATTTTGTTTCTTTTTATTTTCGTACCAAAGCGTGCTCACAACAATTAAATGCCCCAAAAATAAATAAAAAATAATACTAGAGGTATTTTGGGATGTAAGAAATCCCACAAAAATATCTAGAGCCTTATGCCCCTTGGCCTGAGGTCGAGGAGATTGAGAGTTAGAGAGGGTGTTCAGATAGAGAAGTACTGTTGAGGGTGAGGGTAAGAAGAGAAGATAGGTTAGGTATATATGGGCCAACTGGGTCTTAGCCTCATTTATTTATTAGGTGGACCTCTTAAGAGGTCCGTCTTTGAAAATAGGCTCTATTTTCATAGGACATTTTAAGAGGCTCGTCTCTGTTTATTGAGTTACAGAGGCATATGTTTTCGAAAATGCATGGGTCGGCCACCTTTGAAATTCACTAGGTATTTTTGAAGATACAGACATTTTTCGACCACCTCTATAAAAAAAAGTGGGTTGACTTTAAAATCCTTTTTTAGTAGTGGTCGTCATTGAAGACATGATGTATATTTGTAATTTTCTAAAGCTTTCTTCAAATTTTTAGATTTATTAGCTCTTTTTTGAAGCTTCTATAACTTTTGATTTATGGGCTATGATCATTTTGGTGTGATTTATTGTCTCTCATAACATCTCTAAGGGCTGCTTTGGAACGCAAGAATTTTATAGAAATCACACAAGTACAACAAGTTTATAGGAATCAATTTATTTTCATAGGAAAAAGACATTAAACAAGAAAAAAATCACCCATTCCGAAGAAGGCCTAAACTTTTCAAAATTTCAAAGGTGTTGTGTATTTTCTTCCCCATTTAAATTCAAAAAACAATGCCATCAACCCTAAACCGCTCACAGGGATGAAAACCAAATGGAACTGAAAGTTGGCTTACCCAAACCAAATGGTATTAAGTTTGAGGTGGGGGATCAAAATTGTACAAATTAGAGAGTTGAGGGGCAAATGTGGACTTAATATTTTTTCCGAGATGACTTAGGCACTGTTTGGGACCGTGTTGCGTCGATTATACACGAGAAATCAAAATAATCTTGCCAAACATCCTGCGTTTAGTCTGCTTCTTTTCACTGCACAGGCGAAAAAAATTCGAAGTTTACACTGCAAGTGAAGAATCGCGGCCGTGTATACTGTTCAAACACGGCCTTAATTCTTTCATCCCCCGGTTCCAAATAGTTTTGCCGAGGTGCCTAGGATCTCTCGACCTTTTACCGTTCAAAGCTCTAAGCAAATTTAAATTTGGAAACGGTAAACGGCTGATATTTCTGAAAATTGCAGTCAAGGTTTCTGCAATTTTTCTGCCGTTGGCTATATTTTTTTTCTCAGTACTCACCGGTAAACTCAGCCACGGGTGAAATTTTGAACCCTGAAAATGAGTGCCAACTAGCAGTTAAGATAGATCTCTTATCTATCTCATGATATATAAATACCTAGACTAGAAGTGACGCCGCCACGGCATCAGCATAGAAATGTCAGCATTATAAACTTATCTCAGATACGTCCTCCACAACTGAATGTTTTGCGCAGTCCTTCTAAACTAAACTGTGATCAGAGCATCATGCACTAATGGTTTCTTATTGTCGACAACCATGCATGCAGAGAATAATTTTAAGCAACGTCGAATCTGTGCGAATGGGCACGCAAACCTGCCGTCATAAATATATTCCCACTTCTTATTTTGTGATGTGCTGATTCCTGACTTTTGGAAACATTTCTTAAAACTGAAAGTATAGAAACAAAGAAAACCACAAGTTGAGCTTCATGGGTTGGATATGGTGTCAAATTCGGCAATGTTTCACGCAAGACAGAAGAGAGAATGCCAAGGCAGGGAGAGAGACAATGCCATATCGAGCTACTCAGTCTTCCAAGTTCCCCTCTTCTCCACAGCTCACTTTGTCGGGCCACCACATGCAAAAAACATGCATGGGACAGAGAATGATACAAAAAATCCTTTTGATCTTGCTCTTTTGCCTCTTAAAAATTTGTCAGAGTTTATTAGATAGTTCTTTCAGTTATCTACTGTGAGGTGGCTAACTATAAAAGAATCAATACAGGAGTTTATATGCGTGATGAGTCTCGATTGACATAAGAGGGTGCAGAAATTTATTTATGCGAATCATGGTTACAAAACAGTAGTACAAAAGTTCATAATGCACAGTGAACTGAACATTGTACACAGCGACGAACACAAACTACAAAATGAAAAGAGAAATGGACATAATATGGTAGCACTGGCAAGTGGCAAGTACTAAATTACAAACGAGTACGGTGTACTACTAGCACTCAGCTTAATTGGATCCTTAGATAAGAACACAGATAAGAACACGGCAAACTAGTTGTTGATCTTCCCTTTGTTGCCGATACCGGGGCTGTTGCCGGGAGCCGTAGGCCGGGAGTCCGTGGTCGTCGCCGGCATGCCCTCGCCGGTTTGCTCATTGCTCGTCGCAGTGGCCATTTTTTGCTTTGCACTGAAGCCTCCATATCCTTCGACGAAGATGCCACCCTTGCATGCTGCTTCCTTCCCGTTGCACGTCGCAGCCACCAGCCGCCTCGCGTCAGCCTGGCTTGACATGACAAGAATGGTGAGAATGCATGCGCACACAACCTTGGAACTAGCCATGTGAATATGTTAGCTAGGACTAGGAGTGGAAGAGAGGATGGATATGATCAGCGCTATATGGAGAGCTATACTCTTCTGAAGTCTCCTTGGGTTCCATTTGAGAAGGGTGTCTGCGACCATATATAGAGGTGCGAGCACCGCAAAGATGCGATTAGTTATATATATGTGCCAGTTAGTGTACGTTAAGGTTCAGCGGCTGATGTGTGAAAACAATCAACTTGAATCAGGTGTTCACTCAAGGAAGTGTAAAGGCATCTAGACAGCTAGTTTGAGTAAGTACATGGAGCTAATCTTGTTTTGTAGGGTTAATAACAAAGCATTAGTCACATTTAGGTCAGTTGGTTTTCTTGGTCCCTGGTGACTAGTTTCCGAGCATGGTGCAATAGTATTCGTGAAGGCTAAATACACGGTAGTGTCTAAGTGTGACTACTTAGTCTTGAAGGCACTTAGACTTATCGTTAGGAATTTTTTTTTCTTTGACCAATCTATTAAAGGTGTCAAGATTAGTAACTTGATCAAAAGTTTGAGGCAAGACACATTGATGCACTTGTGAGAGTTACTCTAACTAAAATGGATTAAGAGTGGCTAGATTAGATAGAGGATAAGTCTAGGATCTCAAAGAAGTCGAATTGAACGAGATCATACTTCAAATAGAGCCATAATTCAAGTTTGAAGTACACCGAAGTAGTTGATCAAGGCCACCGGATTATCCGATGTGGCACTATGCTATACTATGTGTTAGGCAGTGTTACTCACCAAATAATCTAAACATGAGGGTAAGCGGGAAAAAGAATAAATATAATGTGCCCTACCTATTAGTAAAGCAAGGTCTTCTAGAGCCTATCTAACACAGACATATATGAAGATGAGGGCACTAAGATAGATAGGTGGGTAGAGAGGGTACTTGAAGGATAACACTAAGTTATTCTAATGAACTAAGCAGATCAACATTTACTCATGTTGTTTACTTTGGGCACCTAGGACCAGCCAACTCACATATAGGGATGAGAAGGGGAGTGGCAAGCCCACCCCTAAGTCCTACAGAACAGAACTAATATAATGGAATAGATTTGGACAACTTACTTGGTGAAATTAGCTTATATGGGCATGGATTGTTGAAAGATATTTTTCTTAAGAATGGTATTTGCTTCACTTGCTATTTTTTTTTGCTTTGTGTGCCTATATGTCATAGGCATGGGGGAATTAGTGGCCATGCTACAGGGACATTAGCATAGTCCTCCTTCATGCTCTCTCACCTAGACAATATGGTGGCTCATGGCACTAGGATATCATCTAGATTTATAAAAGTCCACCTCAACAATAGTGTTAAAACTATCAATGAAAAGTTCAGTACTATGTTCAATTATAATCAGGTTAAAAATCATTTGAAGATGCGGAGTCATAAATTTTCAGAAGTTAGACAAGCTCAGTAAACTGTGTTATTGGTTGGAATGATGTCAATTCCGTTATTACTCTTGATGAGGAGCAATACAATAACTATGTGACCATATGTATCTCTCTCAACTTTTTTTGCATTCCTTATGATGTGCCATGCCACTGATTCATATTTTTGTGTAAGCATTTATGTCCAGCATGGAGCTCATAATTTTGCTTAATCATTTTTTTCTTGCATGCTCTTCTCATACTTTGTTTGTTGTATATTCTATTATAGGCTCACAATGATGATGATGACTATTTGAACAAACCTCTTGAGCACTATGCTAAGACGCAAACCATATTTGGGAATAGCATAACTACATGAATGCTTGCAAGGTATTCCAATGTAGCTTTATGTATAGAAGATGTTGATATAGAAAATGAAGACATGAATGCAAATGGTGTGAGTGATGCCACTACCTGTCCTGGTGATCATGAGGCTACATCCTATGCAAACAAGTCAAATAAAGCTAAGGTCAGTTACAATGATGAATATGGGTTGATCGTTGCATTCAAAAGTGTTGGTGATAACCTTGTCATGGCTATAGAGGTCTTTGCTCCACCCCTACCACCCCACCAATGATTTATTACTAGAAAATCTATTTGAAATATTGACTAGCCTTCCATGTTTTGAGGCCACTCACATATTTGTCTGCTTCCAACATGTGGTGAAGAACCCAGACATCGGATGAGCATTCTATAACCTTCCTCTCAAGCATAAATTGATTTGGGTAGCTATGTTCATTTCTGATAAGTTCCTAGGGTAGAAAAATGATAACTTGAATGGTTCTTTTGCTTGCACCAAATGAAAAAAATAACATTAGTTTAAAAAATCTAAGGCTTGAACTCTATATATTATGTGTGTCCTTTAACTTCCTATTATGTATTGGCTTGAGTTTGTTATATTGTATAAGACTAAATTTGTTATGTGGTAGCCTCATACTTGGTATTATTTATCAAGACTCATATTATGTATAGTGCAATGACCTTATGCTATTTGTGCTTTGTTAACTTTTAATGTTTTGTACCAAAAATCAAAGGAGATAGGGAAAATGAGAAGGTGAAAATGTTGAGGAGGTAACCTCACTAGCAAACATGAGGAGGGTAATCATAACAGTTGTTCCATCTTCATCCTTCCTCCAAACTAGAGACATGACCATTCCATACCACCGTATTCCTCAATAGAGCAAACAAAATAGGGACTGTCTTGTCCCTCTAACCAGACTACAAATTCTGACCATCCCATCCTAGAAAACTAGGACCATCCCATCCCATCCTCTCTAGTCCCCAAACCAAACATATCCTTCTATAAGTAAGTATTAAAAAGTTTCATGGACAAATTTAGTACATACAACTAATCAAATTGATTATCTTTACTCTTTCTCCCTAACTCAAACCCCATTTGAGATTCTCTATAATATATATCCGGTTGCAATAAATTTACATTTACTCTATATGTATTTTCATGTTTGGCATTGCACCTCTGAGTTTTTCATGTGTATTTACTTGAAACATTAGCTGAAGTTATATCTATCTTGTTGCATTCCTTTTATGGCATCATGAATCTATATATATTTTGGCTTTGAACTTTTGATCTCATCAGTAGTTGTATTTTCAACTTTAGTTCTTATTATACCTTTTACTCACAATTCCTTCGATATTTGAATAGGAAATGGATTATAGATCCTAACCTCTTTTTGTAGTTACTACAAAGCATAGAAGTTTGTTTCAGGCTGCACCAGATACTTAAGATGTTTAGTTTTCTCTATTAAAGAATCATAGTATTGTTGCTTAATGTAAAAATTAAAGTGTTTATAGTTAAACTACCAATATTGAATTTATAATGTTTCAGTCAAAATATATAAACTTAACTAAAATAACAAATTACAAAATTTATTATCATAGAGTTTTAATATAATTTAAAATAATATGTCAGTGTCATTGAGAGATGGTTTGTTATGGGAATATTTTTTCCTAGGTGATGAAAAATAAAATAAAATAATATATATATATATATATGTTTGTGAAAATGTTGTCATCAATTACCATAAAGGGGAGATTGAAAGCCCTAGTTTAGTTTTAGATAATTGATGAAACCTTGGACTAACCTTTGATCTAAGTGTGTGAATTAGATAAGATAGTCCAATCCAAGTGGTGGAGCTAGATGATGGTCATGGTGAAGGTGATGGCCACAAAAGAGAAGATCAAGTGCTTCATGTTTGGAAAAGAGGAAAGAGAAAAATAAAAATGGACTCAAGGCAAAGGTATAATGATAGGAGCCATTTTTGTTTGCACTCAAGACACCATAGAGGGTATGAGTGATTTAGGATCGATAGCCATACTATAAAGAGGGGAAATCTTTGGCTAAGCAGTTATCGAGTGCCACTAGGTGACATGACTCTTGCATATGAATTAGGGAGCTAGTGTGCTAACAATTAACCCTTGTAAAATGCTTTGAAAAATGCTAACACACGTGCACAAGTGGTGAGACACTTTGGTGTTGGCACTTAGAAGCAAGGGTGTTGAGAAAAGAGTTGAAAGCGCTGGTCACGAGGTGGCCGAACGCGTCCTACAATGGGACCGGACGCGTCCAGTACTTGACTCAGGCGACAGTGTTCGACATGACCGGACGCGTCCGATATCTATACTGGACGTGTCCGGTATTTGATCTTGTCATGAGAAGCGAAGGCAGGGATGACCGGACGCTGGGCTGCGTTCATTCGTGTTCAATCTGACGCGTCAGGTCATGCCCTGGACCTCTCGGTGTAGATTTTGATCGTGACCGGACGCTCTGTGCAATGAGCGACCTAACGCTGAGTGTTGTGTCTAGTCAAAGGAGGTGGTGTGCATAGCCATGAGCACCTGACGCAGGGGTGCGTCCGGTCACGTCTGAGAGGCTCTAGGAGCTCTCTGTTCTTGACCGAACTCTGCGTTGTGGTGCGTCCGATGTATTCCGAGCGTCGCGTCCGTTCACATGTCAGAGCTAGCCGTTGGGCACCAACAGCTATACTTGTTTAAAAGTGACACATGGCTGCTCGGTGGTGACCAGACGCAACGATCGAACGTGTTCGGTCATCTCGCAGTCAGCCTAGTGAGGGGCATAACGGTTGGATTTGTTTGAGGGGGTTTATAAATAGACCTTGGCTGGCTTGGGCTCACTTCTCTTGGCACTTTGACATACTTGACAGCCTTGTGAGTCTAACTAAACACCTCCCACTCATCTACATCATTGATTCATCATGATAGTAAGATTGGGAGTGATTCCTAGTGTATTTGCTTGAGTGATTGCATCTAGTGGCACTTAGGGATCGTTGTGGCTGTAGATTTCTTGTTACTCTTGGTGGTTGACACCACCTAGATGGCTTGGAGCAGTAGAAGAGTATCAGCACGAGTTGGTGATTGTTCGTGGCCGCCTCCTAATGATTGTGAGGGGTCTTGTACCTCCCCCGGTGGAGCGCCGAAAGGTAACTCTTGTAAATTGCTTGTGTTATTGAGTTACTTCACTTGTGGTAGGTTCTTGCGGTGCCAAGTGTTGGCTAGGTGTATGATACCTATTAGTCCGC